GTTATTTTTCAGATAGTTTCTCTTGCTTTGTCAGGGGTCAGTCTCAGACTGCAATCCATCTATCTATAGCCTCCCACAAAACTGGGATTACAGTTACATGCCATCACACCTGGTTTCTTGATTGAGATGGGTTCTTGCTAACTTTTTGCCAGGGCTACCTTGAGTTGTGATCCTCCTGGTCTCTACCTCCAGGGTAGCTGGAATTACAGAAGCCAGCCACTACACCTAGCTTGTCTATTTGTATTTATTTTGGATAGTACCTATTTGGTTCATCTGCCCATTTGCAATTGAATTACTTGTGGGTTTTTTGCTAAATTTTTATATATTCTGGGTCATAACCTATCATATGAAGAGTTGGGAAATATTTCCTCCCATTCTATAGGTTGTCTTTTCACTCTATTGATTGTTTCCTCTGCTGTGTAGCTTTTCAGTTTGATGTAGACACATTTGTTCATTCTTGCTTTGTTTCCTGGGCTTTTGGAGTCCCATCTAGAAACTTGATGCCTGCACCAATATCTTCAAGTGTTTCTCCTATGTTTTTCTCTGATCGTTTCAGATTTTTAGGTTTTATAGTAAGGTCTTGATCCACTTTGAATTGATTTTGTGTAAGTTGAGAGGATAGGGGTCAAGTTTCAATTTCCCATGTGTGGATAGCCAAGGAAGAGTCTCCCTGTAAGGAAATCAGCTATGTCTCAAAAACTCTCCAGAATGAGACAGACTTCTTCCAGAGAAGTTCACCAGGTAGAGAAAGCCCACCTCTTCTGCAAGACTGGACCACTGAAACTCTCCTGTTCAAGACATGTGTATTTTCTTCATTTACAGCAAATGTGCGGTTTTATTTACATAAAAAACACACTTTTGTCATTTAATTTTCTAGATAAATCATTGATTATGAAACTTCTGGTAAGATTATTTGCCATATCCATATTTGATGCATCATTTTCATAACCACAGTTTACCATGAAATTTAAATTTAGCCAATAATTCCAAGGTGATACTTTTATCTTCAAAGCCACCATTTCTATTTCAACCAATCTATTTAATAGAACAGTTTAGACTACTTGTTTAAACTGATTCAAATAACATTGTAAAAAAAAAGTAAAGGGAAATAACTGTTAAAGGCATTCCAGTAATAGAAACTAACAGGCACTTAAACAATGAAGGGCAGAAATATAAAACAGGTCCTGTTATGGGGAAAATACTAATGAGAGGGGAGGGTAAATAAAGAAGGTAAAGGTGGGTGAATATGTTTGATGTACTTTTATACATGTATGACTATGGCACATTGAAGCCTGTCAAAGTCATTTTAAAAGGGGGGAGGGGCAGAGAAAGAATAATGGAGAGGATGAACTAAATTGAAGTGCACTGTATGCATACATGGAAATGTCACAAGGAAGCCCCTCATGCAACTGTTGTACACTAATAAAAATGTTAAGGAAAAAGAAAAAGAAAAACAATGATTCTTGGCCTCAAATGTGAAATTATACAATTTCTTAAAGAGAGTAAAGGAAGATAGCAATGTGATCACTATAAAATGTAAACTCAGATAAAATCCACCACTCTTCTAAATGAACACAAATATTATGACCTCAAAGACAATTTATGCTATGACATGTGACAAGTGAGAACACTGAAAAATAAATAGGCACAAAATTACAGAGTTCAAACACACATTATGCTCCAACTTTCACTTCATTTGATTTCCAGTGCTCCTCGGTATATCTCATACAAATAGTTCCAGAAATATGGTGATTTTCTTTATTGTGCGAACTGAGATGGCAATGATTGAACACCTGTGCTTTCTTTGGTAATGTGATTTATGAGACAGGAATAAAAATCCAAGGAAATCACTCAATAAATTATTCAATTTTCAGATCATCTTATTTAGAGCACATTTTTTTCATACTGCCAGTGTAAGTAGATAAGAGTACAGTGTCTAAGAAGATATCTGGTACGCACATATGGAAATGTCACAGTAAAGCAAATTAACTTATGCAATTAACGTGTTAGTATTTTTTAAAAGAGCATATCTGTGTTTGCTTCTCTGTTTTTAGTAATTTTGTGAGTGCAGGCAAGACTCTCTCAATTCCCAGTTTATTCATTTAAAAAGTAGAAAAATAACAGGAAGCATATCACAAAGTGTAAGATGAACACCACTGGTGGGATTCTAATGGCTGGTGTGGTAATGGATTTAAGTTTTTACATTTATTTTAATTCTATTTTAATGTATATGAGAAATATACATATTTAAAATGTCAAATAAAAACTTTTCTCAGGAGAGAAGTTTTAGGTAGTACCAGGAGAATCTATCTTTCTCAGAAAATAGTTCTATTCAGTTGTACTGGAAGCTTCTTGTCCATGAATATGGACATTTAAAAAACTGGGAAGTCACTTGCACAAAGGGCTGAATTTTGGAAGCAGAATCTTAGGGTTCACATGCATTGTGCGAGAATTAGGGAAAGAGCAAAATAGCATTCAAAGTGCTTTACATAGGGTTGGAAGGCATTAAGAACTCAGTAACTATTCTTATTATTACTTTTTCTCATGGTATTTTATTGCCATATTGCGATAATGCTAATAAACCATACATTCTCCTCTAGCAAAATGAAGTTTATGATTATCCAATCATGATAAAACTATCCCCTTCTACATCCCAAATGACTCACAAGTAAGATGAATCACCAACACACTAAGAAAAAAATTAAATAAGTTAGGAAAAAGGGAGGTGTGGGTAAAGGGAGCTCACAAGGACAGACAGGGAAGGATCTGATAAAATTAAACAAATCCCATTTGTCATGAGAATATTTTATAAAATAACACATGCTACAATGGCACTTGGCTAAGTGAATTTGCTTATATAAGTTGAGGAACTATCAGAACAGTGAATAGCACCAACATCGTCTCCTTAAACTTTGTTGCTGCACATTCAGACAAAAGAAAATAACTATTTGTTTTTGTTTTTAAAATACCATCAAGTATTATAGGGCATAGCACTGTAATGAATGTCTAAAACATTTTCCTATAATTTTACTAAGTTCTTCTGAATAGTTTAAAAGATAAGTCTTTTCCCAAAAATAAAACCAATATTAATTTAATATAATATTGCCCTAGTTCCCTTTTCAATGCCTGTTATGTGTTTCCCATTTAATTGCAATTTCATTTAATATTTTCCTGCAATTCTTGAGAAAACATATGGTTAGCATTTTTGGATATGTTATTGCTTTTGAAAAGTTATTCTAAACTTCATCTACCAACATATAAAGTAACTTTAATATTTTGATGTCCCCATTCTTATCACAAATTCACTGAATTTTCTTTTACCATAGGCATTTTCATAATTGATCAGAACATGGTTGGTGCCAAACCTAAAACCCAAATGTCTGTAGTGATAAGCAGTTCTTACAGCAGAGGATGAACTGGGTCTGAGCTGGCCCAAAGTGGTGAAACTTCATTCATAAGTAGGTCATATGACAGCAAAACTAATTTAAAATTTCACATTGACAGTCTGCCAAGAATTTCTCACCCAGAAAAGCCACTCTCAAGATTAAGGATGAGGGTCACAGATGGCATTTCCCTGAGTTAACACATGATGGACACTGGAAGAAGCTTATCAATGACACGATGGCAGCTCTGCAGACGAACAAAGAACTCAAGCAGAAATTAAGTAAATCAAATGAAAATTAAGTAAAAAGGCACTTTTCTAGTTTTTGCTCAACAGGTATAATACAACAACATTTATGAAATATAAAACTGAGCTCCTTCCCATAGGTAAATTTATCAAATAATTAAAGCTACTTTCTGGAAAACAAACAAACCAGCCAACAAACCAATGACTTGAAATAGCTATCTACTTTTGTCAAATTATTTAATTTGCCACCATCAGCAACCATCTTGGCATTAAGAAATATTCTGCCTATTTTGATCTTCAACCGTTGCTGAATATACTTTTTCATCTCTCACTACATAACTCTCTTTGATCAATAATCTTCTAAAACTAATGAGAATAATTATAACATATTTCTAAGAATGACAGCTGTTCTAAGATTTAATTCTAATTAAATCTAATTAAGATTTGTTCTAATATTTAAATATAACATTTCTCTCAGTCTCAAAAAAATAAAATCTCTTTGGGTGCTTAAGAAGAACCTCACAATTTTAACAATGTGGAAAATAAATTTGTAACAGGTTTTCTTGAAAAAACATTCATTTAATCATATTATAAATTAATAATTTATCAAATGCTTGCCAATTAAGTTGAAAATTAGCATTTACTTTTTTTTGTTTTTCATTTCTTCCTCCTCTTATTTTTGTGTTGATTTTTGTTTTATTTTGTTTTTGAGACAGGGTCTATCTACATAGTCTAGGCTGTCCTTGAATTCAAGATTCTCTTGCCTCAGTTTCCTGAGTGCTGGGACTACAGACATGTACCACCATGTCTGGCTTCTTTCTTTTTTTTAAGTAATGGCTAATGGACTGAAAAACCAGATAACACTTTATAGCATAAATTTAGATTCAGTTGCTAGATATATCCTAGGCATTACTTTTATGAAATTATGATAAAGCTCATTATAAATCAGATTGTCTAATTATAAAAACTGGTTTAATTTTCTCTCTGATATTTCTCATTTTTTAAAAGAAAAATTGGCACATGACTCTTATGAAGGTACAAAATGAAGAATTTAGTACCCATTATTGTTGAAGTATTCTTGTAATATATAGTTTTGTGTGATTTCTGTTAATCCTGTCTTTATTTTTAATCACTTAACTTCAAAACATTATCACAAATAATATGAACTTTTCTTCTAGAAAATATTTATGGTTATAACAGAATCTAAAAGTTCTTTAAAAGCTTCACAATTCTAAGAGGAAATTAATGGCAGAATAGGTCAGAAACAGGGTGGTCAGGTTTTACAATGCAGAAATATTGTGAACTCATTCTCAACACACTCCAAGTAGAACAAAAATTGTTGAACGAACCAGTCCATAAATGTGGTACCTACTTTGCAGAGGCAAAATGTTTCCAGTGCACTGTAACTCTAGTTCTTCAGCCCATTCCTTCTTTGTCTTTGGTGGGAGCTGCATCATATCACAGTTACTACCTTCTGCCAAGGACACTGGTTGACTGCTGATTGGAATTTTTCTCAAACTTTTCATGTGCTGTTGAACTTCAGCCAAGAGAACAGCTTGTATTGCTTCAGTTACCTGGAAAGTTGTTTTTTAAGAATTATTTTTAGTAGAACTACAAACACCTAGAAGTTTTTTAGAAAACAATGGAATTCACTTGTTCACAGTGCACTGAATGCATATACAGCATTATCACAATGAAATCTCCTCCTAGTATTTAAAAAATGTATGCTAACCCAAAAACAAAATTAAATTTACAATTCCAAATCCCAGAATTTTGATTTGAACATGTTTTCCATAAATCATATTGTTCCTTTCTGCTAGAAGTAACACCTAAAATAAATTAGATATGGAAAGTCATGGTATTCAAACTATTCTTTGCAAATACAAGATTCTAAAGCAATACTTGAGAGGTATTTTCTTTTTTTTCAAAGTCCTTGAAAATATTTATATAGAGACATGAATATAATTATATAGATAACAAAAAGGATAAGAAAAAGGACATATAATTCAAAGTATAGGCTTTTCTCACAAAAGTAACCCTTTCTTGAATATGTATTTTTCTATTCTCTGAACTCAGCAAAAGATCTTAATTTTGACTGTTGATGAGAACTACAGGTGAAGTGTTTGTTACTGTGCTCATAGTTTCTTCTTCCCTTCCAGAGGAACCTAAATCAGAATTTTAGAGGAGTCGGGAGCAGGTGTCGATTTGTGAAAATTTTCTACAAGTGATCATGGTGTGTGGTAGGTGTTGAGAACCATTTGATCCAATGGCTGGGGAAGGAATTTTAGTTTCCTTCTTCCCCTGTCATCTTCTGAGGTTTCTTCGTTTAGCTCAATGGAAGTATGGTGAAAGAGTTATTCACTGAACCATTCTTCTGATTTGGAAGATTGAGCATGTGTCTGAAAACCAAGTTGGACAAATTTGCAACACCAGCCACCAGTCCAGCTGCTCCCCAAGGCATTCTTCTCAGGAGTCACTGCACCTTCTGCAGTTTATGTTCAAATCCTTTAGAATATCTTTTCTTCTACTACAGTCTCTGTCCTGGATTTTCCCAAATTTTTACTCTCTTGAAAGTCTTTCATATTTTGTGCTTTGTTTGCTTTTATAAAAAATAGTAAAATGTTATTTATTTACGTTGTTTCTTTTGGGGTTCAATTCTTTTGTCTAACTTTTCACACATGTTATTTGAATGTACTAATTTCAAAATGTGGATGATGTAGTAGAAAACTCTGGAATAGAAAAGGTTTGAGTTTCAATCAGTTACTATAAATGCAATCTTTGTCAAGTCATAATCTTCTCTGAAACTTCAAGTGCTCACTTATAAAACTGGGAAGATTATCATCTCTGGAAAATGCCTATGATTGTGATATAAGATATCATCTATTCCACTGGAAATATCTTATGACAACTTATAGGATCAAGTTATAGGATCAATGATGGTCAGCAAGATCTTCATTCTTTGTTAAATATACAGATTTATGCAATTTCATTTAACATTTTAATTATCAGATTTTCATGCCATGATTTTGTATTTTAAATTGATTTTTACATAGTCGTAACTATCAATAGATATTATAAAGATCTTCAATATGAGAATAATCAAAAATTAAAACAAGAGAATAAAATTATTAATTATAATGGGTAACATATCAGAGCCATAATAAGTAAAACAATGAATACTGAATAGCAAAAAATGAACTGGAAATAAACTCAAAAGTATATACATTTTAGGCTCAGCATGGAAACAACAGTCAGCATTGCTCTCATCCAGTGAGAAAGGCACATGGTATAAACATGTAATAATGTTATCATATCTGGTATGCAGAAGGCACTAAATAAATGCTATCTGTGTATTTGAAACATACAAGGTGTAGACTGCATACTTTACTGATAGCTTTTAATTACCAATGATTGCTCTTCCTCTAGTATATAAATATAATAGATATATTTTGTCAAGAGTCAATAGGGATAGTTTTCTCCAAAAAACATAAAAATTTGACAGTATTTTATATATAAGTTTGTGATTTTAATTATGACCCAGAATTGAGCACTATGACTATAAAAGTGTCTTCCAAATGCACACACATTTTTTTGAACAGGTAGATGTGAAATGTACTATATTTTTTATGAGGAAATGTACAGAGAATCAAAATAAGGTCTATAAATCCATTGGGTGGAAAGAGTCAGCCACAAATCTGGGCTATAGTATTGTAAGTATTACTGTGTTATGGACAAGCTAAAAACTTTTGACACTATGCGACTAACAGATTGGACAGCAAGTGCTATAATAGCTTCAACATCACAAGGACTCATAAGCACCCCGTGTCCGGCTTATTTTTCCAAAGTCCAGATTGTCTGATAAAAGCATTTTTCCAACACTACACCTCTCGCTGGGTCTTTCCCATCTTTTCAATGTCTCTGGAAAAACAACACTTCTTCATGAAGACCTGAATGTCATGATTTTTACCCACTGGCATTAAATTATAAAATTCAAGGAACTTTAGCATCATTCCAGAAACATGCAAATAGCACATCCAACACATCCCTGCTTTTTTCCCAGGGTTTATTTTTATGTTGAGCATTTCAGGTATGAGAATCCAAAGAGACAAACTCTGAACAAACTCATTCATCTGAAAAATTAATCATTCTCACTCTTTCCTTTAAAGGTAAATATTCAATTTTTGAAGTTGTATTTTTTCCTGTTTTATGAAAGTATTCCATTACCAGCTAGTGCTCTAAAATGCACCAAAAGTACATTCAAGGATAAAGGGGTAGGGGTGACATGATCAAAGTACTTTGGATGTATGTGTGAAAATAGAATAATGAAACCCATTAAAATTGTTCAAAAAGGGGGGGGATAAAATAGTAATAAAGGGGGTAAATTTGATCAAAGTACATTATATGCATGTATGGAAATACCACCCTATGTACAATTAATACACACTAATAAAAAAAAGAAAGAGAAACAAAGTAAATTCTAACTTACATGAAGCAAGTAACTGCTTAAACACAAGACATTATCAAGAATCTCAGGATAGGTCTCTATTATTGCTGATAGTCCCAGAAATTCTTCCCATTTATGAGGAATATAAAAGAAAATTAACAAAGTAAATCTATGTTCTAGAGCCATGCATCAGGAAGTGGGTGAGAAGAGAGGGCAGTGAGCCTGGCTTCCCTGCATAGTGAGCAGCAAATGTGGTATCTGTCCTGTTGTCAGCATTGCACACAAGGCACTGAATCATAGAACCTTAAAGGACCATTCATCCAAACTATCCAAATCACATCAAAATGCAGTTAACTGTAAAATGAACAATTATAAATGATCTTTAGATTCAGAATAATGTTCTATTGAATCTTTTCCTTAAGGACATTTTTTCTCATTGAAGAATTCTCTGGGTACTAGGGAAAAAATCTTACCTTTAAATGAATAAAATAAACTCTTTGGGGGTGATTGTTAATATGCTGATAAAATCTGAATGGACAAGTGTTTATTTTGACTAATACATAGAATGTTTACATTCTATACTTTATTATTAAATATTGATTGATTGGCTACTGTCACTACTGTTTTTCAGGACATTTGTGAGATGAGATGAGTAAGAGACAGGGTCCCTGCCCTCAGCATGCTGACATAACAGTGAGAAGACAAAATATAAGCAAGCAAAGGAATAAATGATATCATTTTTCATTAAAAGCAATCACAACAAAGAAAATGAAACTAAATAAAGTGATGGCGACTGATGGTATAGAATGGGAAAGGGTCTGGTGACAATATTGTCAGTTGGAGCAGTCAGGGAAGAGTTACCAGGTAGAATTTGTGCAAACTCCTGGATAAAGAATAAACAAATGAGAATTCTGGTCCTAGGCTACAGTAAAATCTTCAAGAAATGACCTTCGTGTATTTGGGAAATAAAAATAAAGTCAATATGGCTACATTGAGGTAAAAATGGGGACAGGAAAATATAAAAGACGTGGTTAGAATGGTAGCAAATCATGCAGAAACTTGTAGGCCATGATAACAATGTTCTACTATCATTCCTACTATACATACTTGGTTTTATGGTATCAACACCTAGAGTTTGGTGTGACTTAACTTTGTTTCCCTATAACTAAAAATAAGAATGTATAGTTGGAATTATTGCTATTCTTATCTATCTATGAGGTTTACCAAGCTTATGAACAGGAATGAGGTTCCTATAAAAAGTCATCCAATCGATGCACAGATATTTATTGTGAAAAGCTACCAGTAAGCTTTTAGGACACAAAAAGAGGAAGAAGGACTTCAATTGGACATTGAAGAAATCAGCACTCTAAATCGGTTCACAGATTAGGTACTCTCATAATGGAAAAATGGTTTCTAATAAATAAATTCCCAAGAAAGACATGTTTATGTCATAGCACATTTGAAATCAAATAATAGACAACCCTGCTTTACACAAAAACCTTATCAGGAGAGAGATTACCTATGGCAGCATGAACCCACCTCCCTCTGCCACCTTCCTTCATGCTCTCTACCCTGGTGCACCCCTGAATATATGATTTTTCCATGTCTTTCCTTGTGACTGTGTTTACCTTAGGCCTTTTTAAAAGGAAAGTCCTGGGAGGACAAGAGTAACTATCTACTTGAGCTCTCAGGTAAGAGGGGGATTCAATGAACCTTAGCAGCCAGAAACTCCTCCTGTAACTTCAAGGCCATGGACTGTATCATACCTGCACAGACTGGTCTCGCCAGCAGGAGATTAGCTTCAAAAGTGAAAGGTCCGCCTCAGGTGTATGAAACTCATTCTTACCTAGAAATACATAGAACACATTTATATCTTCAGAGTATTAAAAATGATGAAATCCAATGTCCCACCAACCTTGGCTGTATATTACAATCACCTGGGAAGGTTTGTTTCACAAACACTAATCCCAGGTTCAATCTTCCAGATAGTCTGATTTAGTAGGTCCTAGAATGGGGTTGAGGCAGGTATTAATACTTTGTAAAGGTATCTTAGATGATTTTCTTGTGAGCCAGATTCAAGAAATATATTCAGATGTATTTCTTGAATATATATACGCATATATGATAAATATGTGTGCATAGTTCACACATATTTATATATATATATATACATATATATATTTCTACTGGTAATGCTAACACAAATTCATGTTATATCACATTCATTTGTATACCTTAAAGCTGTCTTTATGTCTATTTGCTAACCAAGGACAAATCACCAAATTTTGCAATTTCTTCCTCATACAAATAGTTCCTGAAAATCAATCCTGCCATATCACATGTAAAATTAAATAAAAGGCTTGCTTTGATTTGTCATACCCAGTTATTCCTCTCAGATCAATAAGTAAAGCACTAATGTTTCAATTTCACTCATTCTGTTATGTGTTGTTTCTAAGTTTGCCCTCTTGAGTCTCCTTTCTATCTTTGCCTCAATGTTCAGTGTGAAATTTTAAAACTGAAGTAAGGCTCATCCTATTTAAATTGATCCACAGAATGCCTGGAGGTTCCCTACACAAAAACTCACTTAATTAGTATCTTTTAATTAATTGAAAATGTACATGTGATCATTCAAATGAAAAAAATTAATGAATTAAGGTTCTTTGATGGTTAAAGTATATTATCCAGGTGTCAGATCCCAGGTGTGAGATAGAGAAGAAGGATGAGAGCTTTTGCTGTTTGGAACATTGCTACTATTTAAATTAATGTGTTAATATAGGTTTGACATTCCTCTGTCAACTATTAAAATTAGTATTTGTCCAAGATGCTTTTGATTATGTTATCATTCTATATTGTAATAGATGATCGACATATTCATACATTTTATCACATTATAGTCAAAGAAAATATGATAGGAGGTGTCTATGAAAATTCAGGATATAATGAAAATTGAGAACATAAAAGAAATACATAAGAGAACTTTAACTCATCATATATATCATTTCTTTCTGAAGGAGTATAAATATGAACTTGAAATGACCAAAACCTGTGCATAAAACATGTATGAGGGAGCATGATAATTTTGAAGTCATATTTCCCATTTCTCCATAAGCACAGAAGGTAACAGAAAATTTTCTTTTGATCTCCTTTCTTTCTCCCACTCTCATTTTGTTGACCTTGTAACTCAGCCATCAAAGGTAAGAACTGGTCTCAACTGTAACTCCTTACTGGCATTATGGTACTTCACAGCACACTTTAATGTGATGCTAAAATTTTAATATGAGGCAGAAATGAGAGCCAACTTGTCTTGGCAAAGTCAGTGAGTTAAAGAATTAATTGCTACTTCAGGGGGAAAGATGAAAAGAAAACTTCCCAGGCTTGCCAATATTACTCAGCCACTGTTTCTGCTGACAGAAGTGAGCATTGGTTCCTGTCAGCCCTTTAGAGTAAGCACCTCAGAGTATTATTTAATTCTTCATGACTTAGTTTTATAAAGTTAATACTACAAAGTGAATCCATCCTTTTTCTTTATCTTTCATCTTATTATTATTAAGAATACAAAAATAATCAACAATGACCACCCCCATAAAACCCCTATATTTCTTTAGTCTTTAACTGAATTTTAAGTGCTACGAATGCCAGGGAAATTATTCAGTAACAACTTCAGCTGCTCAATCAAGCAGCTTGGGTTGCAGCACTCATAGGAAAAGCAAGGGTTTCCTTGGCTCTAGTTATCATTTTCCTGTCTTTGAGGAAACTTGTATGATAAGCCTTAAATTCTAACCCCTTTCTCAGTCTTCTAAAAAAATGAAAACTGAATAACTAACCCTAATAAAAAGTTACTGTCTAAGGCAAAAGCAGGTGACCCAGACGGTGATCACAAAAAGGGAACACTATTATAATGATATATGTGAGAAGTGAAGTGACTGAACCAAATGAAATAGGAAGGAGAAGAATTAGACTTGAATGGGAATTCTGCCCTCTTGCTTAACAAAAGTTTGACAATGAGTGATTCATCTAACTTTTATGAACCCAGATGTTTCTTAGGATAAAAGAGTCCCTTTTTGTAGGGTTCTTTGTATATTAAAATGAGATTATAATTGTTGTAGCATACCAGGCACTGCATAATTGAAAGTTATTTATAATTTCTCATTTGAAAACGTCTTAAGCAATCCTTTCAATAATCCCGTAGGCTCACTGTTCACCAGTTTTTGTGTTAGTCAATTAAACAGGTAAAATACTACACAACTTTGGAGGCAACATGCAAGTAAAGTCTGGAAACTTAACCTCATTTAACAAATGTAGTAAGCAGAATTTTAAGGGAGTAAAAGATATGCCCAGAGTATATAAGCATAAGTGGCAGAGCTGATCTTGAACCTCTGCTATCTATTTCATTTCTCTCCCAAATCATTGGCCTAGTCATTACCTACCCCTTAATTCTAGTCACTCATGAATTTAATTCATATATTAATTCAAAAATTGTTCGCTTAATTCTTGCTATACAGGAACTATGGAGGACATAGCAGTGGATAAAACTGTCATAAAAATGTAACCCCCATAGGACTTACATATTCAGAGTAGGGGGTAAATGACAATGGAAAAAGTCATACATCAAATAGTGAAAAAGATTACAGAGAACAGTGAAGAGATTACAGAGTACAAAGGGAAATAGGGTACGGAGTGGGGCATCCCTATTGATAAGTGGCATTTAAGAAGGACTTGAAGGATGAACTCATGAATAGAGGGAGAGAGGATTTAGCCATATGCATATCTAGGGAAAGAAAAATCCAGGCAATGGCACAGTCAAAGCAAAGGTTCTCAGACTGCTTGTCATATTTAGCATAAAGGCAAGAGTAGGTGGAATTTATAGCTAATCCAGGCATGGGGTGTGTATGTGATAGCTCAGATGGAGCCTTGCTTGCAAGAAGACTGTGGATTTCATTTGGAGTGAAAAAAAAAACCACTGGAAAGTTGTAAGTAGAAGAAAATGACATTTATCACAGAGACTGACAAATCTACCCAAAGTTCATTTGAAACACAAAAGACCAAGGCAATACTGAGCAAAAAAGAGCAATGCTGGAGGTATAACAATACCTGACTTCAAACTATACTACAGAGCCATAGCAATAAAAACAGCATGGTACTGGCACAAAAAACAGACATGAAGACCAGTGGAACAGAATAGAGGACCCAGTTATGAATCCACACAGCTATGTCCACCTTATTTTTAACAAAGGTGCCAAAAACATACGATGGAGAAAAAGCAGCCTCTTCAACAAGTGTTGCTGGGAAAAGTGGTATGTGCCTGCAGAAAACTGAAACTAAATCTATGCCTATCACTCAGTTCTAGTATCAACTCAATGGATTCAGGACCTTAATATCAGACCTGAAACCTTGTAGTTAGTACACGAAAGAGCAGGGAATACTCTGGAAGCAATAGGTATAGGCAAGAACTTCCTCGGTAGTCCAGCAGCCCAGCAACTAAGAGAAAGGATGGACAAATGGGACTACGTAAAATTAAAAAGCTTCTGCACAACAAAAGAAATGGTCTCTAAATTGAAGAGACCTCCCCCCACAGAATGGGAGAAAATCTTTGCTAGCTGTACATCAGACAAGGGACTGATAACCAGAATATACAGGGAGCTCAAAAAAAAAAAATAAACTCCCAAAAACTCAATGACCCAATAAAGAAATGGGCAACTGACCTGAATAGAACTTTTTCAGAGGATCTTACATAGTTAATAGATCACTATGGCTGCTTGTTGAGAACAGAGTACAGGTGCCAAGGATAGATGCAGAGAGTGGTGAGAAACCCCTCTGGTAATCCAGGCAAGAAGCATATGAAGGATTAAGGCTCATACCAGGAAAGTGGTTAGGGAGGTGGTAAGAAGCAGTCAAATTCTGGGATATATTCTGAAGCCAGACCAACATGATGACTGAAAGATTGGATGTGCCTTGTGAGAGGAAGGAAAAATAAAGAATGATATCAAAGCTCTTGGATTGAGCAGCTGGGAAGACAGAGCTATAATTTACTGAGATGCTAAAAATTTGCAAAGGCAGGCTTTAGGACATGAGTTAATCATATGACATCAAAGGAAACTCTCAACACTGAGTTTGTTACTTAGAAGAATATAGCATTCTGAAAATAGCAAAAAAATTATCTAATCATTTTTGGTAATAAACATATTTATTCAATGAATGTTCCAACAAATCACATATGAACTTAATATCCAAATATTTCCTTTGTTGAAAAGCTTCAGACTTTCAGGCATTTCAAAGATCACTTTCATGAATTCTATGCTTGATATAACGTTACTTATCTTAACATTGCTATCAGTTATAGAAATATTATTTTATGTCATAGTTAAAAATAAATCAGATCACATATGTGTCTGTAACTCCCTTACCATTTCTTAAGCAACCAGAGAAGCTTGAAATATTCAAAATATCATTACCAGGGCTTTTCATTTTTTTATGTATAGATTCCATTTTGAAAGATCTGTTGGGAAAAAAATATTTAAAGGATATTACTTTAAAAGTATGAAAAATACCTTGAGAAAATAAGTTGAAGATCTGTGTGCATGACTATCTTAGCAAATATGGAAACTGAACACAGATTATTTTTAGCAATATCTTCCACATTAACTCTTTTGTGAATCATAGCTTCTACTTTGCTCTATGGAAAATCTAAATTCCAAATGAATTGCAAATCTTACCTCACAATGTTTTGAATTTTTTTTTTTGGTGGTTTTTTTTTTTGGTTGGAAATCAGGGCCTTGTGCTTGCTAGCAAGCACTCTACATTTGAACTACTCCCCCAGGCCTTTTACTTTAGTTTGTTTTTGCATAGGGTCTCACACTTTTGCCCAAAATCTACTTCTGCCTCCTGAGTAGTTGGGACCACCACATATGGCTTATTGATTGATATGGGGTCTCACTGACTTCTTGTCTGGGCTTCTCTTGAACTACTACCTTCCTATCTCTCCCTCCTAAGTAGCTTGATCATAGGTGTACACCACTGTATCTGGCCCTAACTTTTGAATCTTAATATGTTGACATCAGCCAAAGAATTCTTCCAGTTACCATCATGTTTTATGCTGGCCAGTGCTTCAGTCACAGGTGTTGTCAGACCTTGTCAGGAACACTCTCATAGGCAGTAGCTATGTATGTCAAATTCAGACGAGTTGTGCACCCTTGTTATTAACCATACAATGATTTCCCACAGTAAAGTGTTAGCGAAAAGACCAAATTTGTTGGAAGGATTTGGTGCCACAAATCCATCTACATTATTTCTCAAAAAAATGATATAAAGGCCCTGATAACAAATCAAATTGAAGTGACTGATTTAAAGTAGTTTAATCTGACACTTTCATTCTAGGATTTATTTGTTTAATGGAGAATTTTTCGAGGAATAGACAACAATTTAAAGGCTGTCTAAGGAAAAGTATGCTGAAAGTCCAACAGACACATTCTCTCCATCCTACGCTTTGTCAGGGACAAACTCAGAATGAAAACCTCTGGCAACAAGTACTAAGTCCCTCATCTGCTCTGTGGATCACTATTAGGCAGATAAAATGTATTAGCAGCCCAAGTTTGTAAGAATTTGCAGGAATCTTAGTAGTCAGCTATCCTATATATCTCATTTTGTAGATGAGGCAAGTAAGGTCCAGAGAGGTTAAGTAGCTAGTCCCAAGTCACACCTCTAATGTAAAAAAACAACAATAACAATGAAAACAAAACAAAATTCAAACCGATGTCTTCAGACTCTAGACTATATTTTGGTGCTGCGTAATTTTCTTAGTAAGAGAAAGAAAAATCTTTCAGAAAGCCTTTCTGATATTAAAAAAAAAGATAAAATAGAAGAAACTTACATATAAGAACCTTAGAAATTTACCAGTCTCTGTTTTCTCATTATTAGAATCAGTAGACTGTTAAAAACCCTGTAACACAGAAGCATTTTAAGAGGAAGAAGCATTAACGCTGAAGCCTCTAGAATCCTTGTCCTACCACTGGACAGAAGTCCTCCGAGTGCAGGACCTCTGTGTATTACAGAGTTTGGAACAGGTATTTGTTTGACTGAGCTCTTATCAAAGAACTGAAATGTGAAGGTTTACCTACTACTATGTAGTGGGAGAGTCCAACAGCGTTTCTTCTAGGAAGGCTCTCTGATGGTTTCACTCACCCTGATTATTCTCTTTACTCCAACCACCTATCTCCCTGTACCAATACACATTTCCCTTATTCCTTTACTCTATTAGAGTGTCTTCTATTTGTTTCATGAGCAGTATTTTATAATTTGAATGAGTTCCTACCCTAATCTTAAACTTATTTCTTGATCTGGGCCATAGTTAATAGGCCATAAGTTAAAGACATAGTTTAATAAGAAGCTTTTGGAACTGAATTCAATCCTGTAACATCGGATTATGAAAATCTATACAAACTTTTATCAGTGGAAAAGGTGAACACACAGAGTTGAGGTTCATAAGTAATCATGCTCTGGATTGAGGGAGCTCAGTTTTACATCATGAGCTGAATTACCCTCGGATTTGACAAGTTTCTTCCAATAGCCTCAATATCCTCATCTATGGAGAACATCATTCTGAGTGAGATTAGCCTGGCCCAAAAGACCAAAAATCGTATGTTCTCCCTCATATGTGGACATTAGATCAAGGGCAAACACAACAAGGGGATTGGACTATGAGCACATGATAAAGCGAGAGCACACAAGGAAGGGGTGAGGATAGGTAAGACACCTAAAAAAACTAGCTAGCATTTGTTGCCCTTAACACAGAGAAACTAAAGCAGATACCTTAAAGCAACTGAGGCCAATAGGAAAAGGGGAACAGGTACTAGAGAAAAGGTTAGATCAAAAAGAATTAACCTAGAAGGTAACACCCACGTACAGGAAATCAATGTGAGTCAATGCCCTGTATAGCTATCCTTATCTCAACCAGCAGAAACCCTTGTTCCTTCCTGTTATTGCTTATACTCTCTCTACAACAAAATTAGAAATAAGGGCAAAATAGTTTCTGCTGGGTATTGGCGGGGGGAGGGAGGAGGCGGAGTGGGTGGTAAGGGAGGGGGTGGGGGCAGGGGGGAGAAATGAACCAAGCCTTGTATGCACACATGAGTAATAAAAGAAAAATGAAAAAAAAAAAGAACAAAGTTATAGTACCTATATCCGAGATTTTCCATGCACATCAAGTAAGTTCACAAATGTAAATGAATTACACAGTGACTAATAAATATTAAACCTCAGAAAACAATAGCTCCCATTATTACTAAACTATACTCTCTAAAACGAATTACTGCATAGCCTCTATTTAAATATGCCAAAATATAAGCTCAATGGTTTGAGTGGAGATATAGTATTTTCAGATCTTTCCTTTTTTTGATAATATATGAAGCATATCATCATAAGCAGTTATTTAAATGTTCTTTGTTCATACTTGATTCATGCCATATATAACAGATTTAAAAGTGTGTATGTTTGTATGTATATATACATTGATATATATACATTGAGATATATGTATTTATTAGCTTATAAAACATCTACCACTATGACTTTCTTGGCACCTATTATGAAAATAATGAATAATTTTTGAATGATTGAATTTTGAGGCATATGAATGTACTGCTAAATTATTCTCCAATCCCAAAGAATTAAAAGGAAGGTTTCTTAAATGTATTTTGAACCAAAGAAGTTGTTACATATCTACCCCATCCATTAGAAGGAAGGCAGGCTTAAAGATCTGAACATAGAAATAATGATGACAGTTTTAATATCCCAAATTAGAAGAATTAAAGTCTCTAGGCAGTCTTACCTGTCAATTTCACAGGCCAATTCTAAAGGCATGTTGACTAATTTAGTAACTAAAAATAATCTGCTCAATAAATAAACTATAGTATTTGATTCTTGCAAAGAATCACAACTGTTTTCAAGTCCTTTTGGTGTTCCAACATGGTTTGGAAGAGTGGCTGTGTATTTATTTGACAAGTCCAAAACTTTTCTGGAAAATAAATTTACTCTTGAACATTCCTTCTTCATTTCAGTACTGCATAAATCCCAACCCGGTAGCATCAATGAGAAGTAGTCTTCACTGGAAGCCAGTCCTAAAGACACAGGACCCTGAAGCTTTGAGATATTGAGATGCCTAATGCAGAGATTATCCAACTCTTTATCCATTCCCCAGGGCAGAAGGCAAGACAGAAACAATTTCGCTGTGTCTATTGCGATGTTGGCATCAACTTTTCTCAGTGGCTTAGGATACACCTTTTTGGAGCCCTTCATTTTCTTCTGCCGTTTAATAACATCATTTTCTTCTAGGAATCTGATGGTATCATCTCCTTGGTCCTGGTTGTCACTAACAGGCTTGGTTTGTGCCTCTGCTGAGAGAGAACTACAGGAAGCTTTATTTCTCTTTATCGTCTTCTTCTCTATGTGCCTCTGGCTCTTCTTCAGGATGTCGCGCATGGAATGAATTGGAAGGGTCAATGTCCTGGGGGCGTGGCAGCAAAAGTTCAACAAGGTTTTCCAGATCAAATAGAAGAATATGAAAGCCAACGTCACTTTCGAATTTGTTTCGACGGTAAGACATTAAAAGGCCTTGGGAAAGACTTGGTATCAGCAACCTAAAGAGGAAAAAAGTTCTTTTTTTTAATTTTAGCTGTTGTATTAAAGGTTCCATGATATCAGAGTAGCATATAAAAGAGATACTAAGTTACAGTTAAAGGCAAGTAGTTTTAAGTTCGGCTAATGACAGTCATGATCAATTTGTTTTGCCTTAGCTATAAAAAGTTTTCGTTTCTAAAGTAACATTCTATATTCTAATTTCTTTGAAATTTTTTTTTCTTTTAAAGTTTTTTTTTCTAAGTAAATTTGAATTAGGCTTATGGAATAAGTTGGTATCAGAGTGATAGCCTCTGAGAAGTATTCACACTCCCTAGTATAGTCGTAGAGACGCATAAGAAAAATACTCTATACTCATTACTTTGTGTTCTCCTTGCATTTTTCTTCTTCCTAGCACTTTTGGTTACTTTATATTATATACAAATTTTATTTGCTTATTGCATGCTTTCTCCACTAGCATTCAAGCTCCACCTTTCAGGTGTACCCTTCTTTGTTTTCTATGTTTGCTTCCTCCCCTGCTACAAAATGATGCTCTTATACGACCCAGTAAATATTTTTCAAATGAATAGTACCTTTCAGTATTTTAAAACAATAATGAAACATTTTAAATTGGTGAAAGTAGGTGCCTATTAGGCAAAAAACGAAATTCCCTTTTGTAAAGACTATGTGTCTACATGAATGTACAAGTAGTATTTTATAATATTGATGTATGTGTATAACATACACATGAACCCAGCTTCTACATGTAAGAGGGTAACAGGGGTATGAATATAATCAAAGTAGGTTATATACATGTATGAACCCATTATTTTTGTACATAATAATGTAATAATTTTGTACAATTGATATGTTACTAATTAAAAGGAAAAATTAGAATATTAATGTATATGTAGGCCAAAGGAATACACCAAAATATTAGCAGCAGTTAACTGGGAAGAGGGAATTAAATAATCTTTATTTTTAAGGGGTTTTTTGTTTTATCAATTTTGATTTTTCTGAAATTTTTAATAGTGCTACTTTTAATTTACAATTTGTAAAAATGTTTAAAAAACAGTCATTGAAAATTGTAAGCAGGAAAAACAAGGGGAACAAACTGCAAAAAATCATCTACCCAATAAGATAAGGATTAATACTAATTATTGATAAATAATTTTTATAAATGGACATGAAGAGTAGCATATAACTGAAAAGCGCACAAAAATGCATCAATAACTAGGAAGAACAATGGATGTTTTATATCAAAAAATAATGGACAGCAGGCACCAGTGGATCATGCTGTAATCTTAGCTCTCCAGGCGGCAGCGATCAGTCAAATAGTTCCCAAGACCTCCTCTCAAAAATACCCAACAGAAAACAGGGCTGGTGGAATGGCTAAAGTGGTCGAGTGCGTGCTTACCAAGTGTGAGATCCTGAGTTCAAACCCAAGTACTACCAAAAGAAATGGATAAAACTATATAAACTACATGGTATCATTATTCACAATTACCCCATACTGAAACAGCCCAAATCAGCAGTAAGAATTAGACAGAAATACTGTAGTGTACTCATGGAACAATATACAACAATGAAAGTGAGAGAACTGCTTGCACAACATGTATACCACACATGAATCTCTCCAACATAATATCAACCAAAGAAGTCAGATAGGAAAAAATTTAACTTGATATGATCACATTCCTGTTAGTTTTTGAAAAAAAAAGTATGAGAAGACAAAATGATGGGGTTTAGGGATGCATGCCATAGACACACGGGAGATTATAGCTTCTGGGTACTATATTTCATTTCTTGATCTGTGTAATATCATGTATAATGTGTGTCTTTAACAGTTCATTGTGCTGTATATACATTTCTGTCTGTGTTATATTTTTTCACTTTTTATATGTGTTATACCTTTACAGTAAATAAATAATGATTATGAAACACAGGTTCACTCCTAAGGGGGTGGTCATTAACTGTAGAAGGAGTGTAAAAGCAAGGCGTCCTTATAGAAGGTGAATATACAAGTGACTTTTAGAATTTTTAAACCTGTTTTGAATCATCATAAGGAGATTAACGTAGAAAGGAGAAAAATAGAGGGGATAAACAATTCGGCTATAATACATATAAACATGGGAATGTCACAATGAAACTCCTGCATAGTTATCTTAACAAACAAAAATGTCTGGATTTTTTTTTTTTTTTTGCAAAAAATGGAGAACTGGAGGGCAGACAGGTCCAGTCTGGGGAGTTGGTGCCAGTGGAGAGGGGAAAATCTAAGCAAAGTGTGTAGGAGGTGAATATGATGGAAATTTATGTACACATGTATGTAAATGGAAGAATGAGAACCTGTTGAAAACTATTCCTGATGGATGAAGGAGAATGATGGAAGGGGTGAATTCACTATAACTATTGTAAAACTTTTGTAAATGTCACAGTGTACATCCAATATAATAACATGTAAAAAATAAAAATAAGTAAATAGAAAAATGAAGGCAGTAATAAATGAAACTATATTAAAAGATATTAAATTAGATACCCCTTTGAATTAAAAAGGTAGAATGTGACTTCATATTATGCCTCTGCCTACTATCAGAAATAACCAATATTTTCAATTTCATGTTTGTAACCACACTGCTTTCATTTAATGTCTTAATCTTAAATATGCATTAATGAATGACCTATTTAATTTTGCACACTTTTGATTCCCATTACACTACTTATAGTTTTCCTTGATTTGCATCTGTTCCTTATTTGTGGCATGTCTTTTCTTTTCTTTTTTGGGGGGTAAGGGGGAACTGGGATGTGGCATGTTTTGCCAACTACTTTTAATAGTTCTTTATTTTTATTTATTAACTTTTTTGTGGTGGTGAGGATCAACCTGGTACACATACAAGAGCTTTTTTTTTTTTTTTTTTCATTTTCTTTATTATTCATATGTGCATACAAGGCTTGGTTCATTTCTCCCCCCTGCCCCCACCCCCTCCCTTACCACCCACTCCACCCCCTCCCGCTCCCCCCCTCAATACCCAGCAGAAACTATTTTGCCCTTATCTCTAATTTTGTTGTAGAGAGAGTATAAGCAATAATAGGAAGGAACAAGGGTTTTTGCTGGTTGAGATAAGGATAGCTATACAGGGCATTGACTCACATTGATTTCCTGTGCGTGGGTGTTACCTTCTAGGTTAATTCTTTTTATCTAACCTTTTCTCTAGTTCCTGTCCCCTTTTCCTATTGGCCTCAGTTGCTTTAAGGTATCTGCTTTAGTTTCTCTGCATTAAGGGCAACAAATGCTAGCTAGTTTTTTAGGTGTCTTACCTATCCTCACCCTCCCTTGTGTGCTCTCGCTTTTATCATGTGCTCATAGTCCAATCCCTTGTTGTGTTTGCCCTTGATCTAATGTCCACATATGAGGGAGAACATACGATTTTTGGTCTTTTGAGCCAGGCTAACCTCACTCAGAATGATGTTCTCCAATTCCATCCATTTACCAGCGAATGATAACATTTCGTTCTTCTTCATGGCTGCATAAAATTCCATTGTGTATAGATACCACATTTTCTTAATCCATTCGTCAGTGGTGGGGCATCTTGGCTGTTTCCATAACTTGGCTATTGTGAATAGTGCCGCAATAAACATGGATGTGCAGGTGCCTCTGGAGTAACAGTCTTTTGGGTATATCCCCAAGAGTGGTATTGCTGGATCAAATGGTAGATCGATGTCCAGCTTTTTAAGTAGCCTCCAAATTTTTTTCCAGAGTGGTTGTACTAGTCTACATTCCCACCAACAGTGTAAGAGGGTTCCTTTTTCCCCGCATCCTCGCCAACACCTGTTGTTGGTGGTGTTGCTGATGATGGCTATTTTAACAGGGGTGAGGTGGAATCTTAGTGTGGTTTTAATTTGCATTTCCTTTATTGCTAGCGATGGTGAGCATTTTTTCATGTGTTTTCTGGCCATTTGAATTTCTTCTTTTTTGAGAAAGGTCTGTTTAGTTCACGTGCCCATTTCCTTATTGGTTCATTAGTTTTGGGAGAATTTAGTTTTTTAAGTTCCCTGTATATTCTGGTTATCAGTCCTTTGTCTGATGTATAGTTGGCAAATATTTTCTCCCACTCTGTGGGTGTTCTCTTCAGTTTAGAGACCATTTCTTTTGATGAACAGAAGCTTTTTAGTTTTATGAGGTCCCATTTATCTATGCTATCTCTTAGTTGCTGTGCTGCTGGGGTTTCATTGAGAAAGTTCTTACCTATACCTACTAACTCCAGAGTATTTCCTACTCTTTCTTGTATCAACTTAAGAGTTTGGGGTCTGATATTAAGATCCTTGATCCATTTTGAGTTAATCTTGGTATAGGGTGATATACATGGATCTAGTTTCAGTTTTTTTGCAGACTGCTAACCAGTTTTCCCAGCAGTTTTTGTTGAAGAGGCTGCTATTTCTCCATCGTATATTTTTAGCTCCTTTGTCAAAGATAAGTTGCTTATAGTTGTGTGGCTTCATATCTGGTCCTCTATTCTGTTCCACTGGTCTTCATGTCTGTTTTTGTGCCAGTACCATGCTGTTTTATTGTTATTGCTTTGTAATATAGTTTGAAGTCAGGTATTGTGATACCTCCTGCATTGTTCTTTTGACTGAGTATTGCCTTGGCTATTCGTGGCCTCTTGTGTTTCCATATAAATTTAACAGTAGATTTTTCAATCTCTTTGAATGAATGTCATTGGATTTGATGGGAATTGCATTAAACATGTAGATTACTTTTGGGAGTATAGACATTTTTACTATGTTGATTCTACCAATCCATGAGCATGGGAGATCTCTCCACTTTCTAATAGTCTTCCTCAATCTCTTTCTTCAGAAGTGTATAGTTTTCCTTGTAGAGGTCTTTCACATCTTTTGTTAGGTTACACCTAGGTATTTGATTTTTTTTGAGGCTATTGTAAATGGAATTGTTTTCATACATTCTTTTTCGTTTGCTCATTGTTAGTGTATAGAAATGCTAATGATTTTTCTATGTTGATTTTATATC